TATTGAATTCATTCAGAAGTTACAAAACAAAAACTTTTGTGATAGTACAGTTAATGTTCTTGTATCAATTTTTCAAATTTTTTCAACATTTAGTGTCTAAATAATAGGGTGTATTGAATTCTTCTTTGTCAATTATTTTTAAAATACAATAGCACTGCAAATATATAATATCCCGCAGAAAACCGGGTTATTAAACCTTCTAGAGTTAAGACACCAATTTTTTTCATTCGGTTAACATTAACGGTTACAGTCAAAGCTTACAAAAGTAAAACACTTAAAGTTGTAGGTTGGAAAAATTGTCTATTTCCCCACGAACACTATGGCATATGCATATATGTCCACCAAACTTTACCTTCTGCACATAACTCCCTCAGACGAAACTTAAATGTGTATATATCCTCCAAAAGAAAGTTAAATGCATATTTCCCCACAAATTTAAAATTTCATGCTTATTTACACACAAAGACGGTTTACTATTTGGTTTACTATTTTGAAATCATCATTTAACTATTGTAAACCTTTTTTAACCGGATTAAAGCTGAATTATGACCCGATTTTAAAATCACCCACACAAAAGTATGTACGAAGCAGTCGAACAGACATCACTTTCTCCATCCATTTCTCAGCTTGGATCTTCGCAAAACGTGTCTCACTATGTTGCTTTATCAATATACTCATGTGCTTATCCATCACCAGCGAAAAAAAAAACTATTTCTTGTTTATAGTAGCTGAGGAACAAGAAAGCACCACTTTTGGAGAAACGAATTTCTCTCCAAAATATCTCTTATCAAAAGATCATACATGAACTTAACCCAACAGCACAAACAAATCAAACCAAAAGGAGATAACTTTTTGAACAAAAGGCTAAAACACAGCAAAATCTTCTGCAAATTTGAACAATTCAACTGAAACTTGAGAAATTTAAAGAAACNTAAAACCCCAAANTTCAAATGNAAAATCTAATTGAAACCAAAGAGGATATGATTCCATANTTTACAGGGCCAATTCTCACGATATGACTCCCCATCTAATTGAAATCTGAGGTAAGTACAGAAATGTTTAATTAAATTGTCGGCTGGAATTAACGGATGCGATTGAGCCATGTAGGTACTCGACGTCAAGTGTGATCGCCATGTGTACCAACGAGGGATTACAGAAGCCGAAATTTACGCCGGAGGAGAGACATTCGTCGGCATTACGAAACACAGGGGATTTCTGAAGGATGATGATAACAAACTCCGATCCGATGGTTGAGGTCGGAGGTAAGAGTCGAGATGTGATGAACGGATTGCCGCCGCTGGCGGAAATGATTGAAGTGACGGAGATAAGACAATCACTGCCATTGCGGCGGAGAAAAACCCAGAGAATCTCCTAATCCAAAGCATTTCGAGAAATCGCTAATTAAATTCCCCAAAAATCCGAATCGAAATCAACGATACACAACAAAAACCCAACGAGATTCTTCAATGTAGAAACGGGTTTAGGGCTTTTAAACGGGTTGGGTTTTTACAATGGATCGGGTATTATGACTCGGTTATTTAACAATTTGTTGGTTTCGTTTTGAGTTAACAAGGAAACCAATCAAAATTAAATTGGTGGGGAAATATGCATTTAACTTTCTTTTGGAGGATATATACACATTTAAGTTTCGTCTGAGGGACTTATGTGCAGAGAGTAAAGTTTGGTGGACATATATGCATATGCCATAGTTTTCATGGGAAAATAAACAGTTTTTCCTTGTACGTTAGTTCAGTTTGAAAAGTTTGGCCTTCGGTTCGGGTAACCCTTACCGAATCAACCAAACCAAAACCTATCTTAACAAGAACCGAATCAAACTACACATAAGGTCTAAGGCTTATATGCCATATATACCGATAGATTATAAACATAAAAGACTGAGAATCAACAGAGCCTTGTGTCGAAGGTGAGAGTGATTCCCATACTGAACAGCTCCTAACACAGAAGTTTAGCTCCGTAAGGCACGTAAACCCAGACCACATGGTCCGACGAATCGCACAGTCTACAGTAAGGTCCTCTGATCTTTCTTCCATTGCTTACTGTACTCTCGATCACATTCGCAAAGGTTTGACAATTCCTGTAGATGTGCATCTGCGATGAATCGCTTAGCATGACGAGTCGCTCGTGCAAATTAGCTGAAGCACCGTGAGCTATAAGGTAGTCTCGCTCCATTTCTCCAAACTTTATTCCACCAAACCTCTTTCTGTCTTCAACCGGCTGGCGTGTGACCGGGTGCACTGGTCCGGTGTTCCTGAATTTGACTTTGTGCTCTAACATGTGGACAAGCCGCTGGTAGAAAGTTGGACCCATGAATATGAGTGAACACACCATCTCTCCTGATCTACCATTGTAGACCCTTTCGTTTCCCCATTTTGAAAAGCCAGCCCTAACCACAAACATTTACAATTGGCAATGAATCAAGAAGACTCAAGAATCAACAACTATCTAAGAAACATGTTCAATGAATCATCACATAATCACAAGGCAAATGATTCACGGCTTCAATCCTCTAACTGTTATACTAGCTCATGGCTTTTGAGCCCATTTTTGTCTAGTCTCTATTAAGGTTTTCAGGCTCAAAAGACAAAATCAATCAACCAAGGACATCGAAGTTCTTAGGATTCTAGTGTTTCGGAGATAATGCAGACCAAAAAAGTCATGCTCGGTTTTAGTACTCCTAGGAAACAAAACCATATTCACTATGACATGTTTCAATCTTGTTAGCAAAACCTTCTGTACTCCCTAGGAAGCAAATGTTGATCAGTTATAGCACAGCTACTGACGTCTACTCATTTAAATTATCAAGACTTGTAGTCCTGTACTGTTTCAAATTTTTTTCAATATTTTGTATGTGTTGCTAAAACCAAGTGCCAGTGTGAAGAAAGTACCTACGAAGCTGCTCGGTGATTTCATTGACACTCGGAGTGGAGAAAGGAGTGGCATGTCGAGTCAATTGGGTGTATGCATTAGAGCTTCCCTTCTTTTTTTGGATAGGACAAGCTATTCCTTTGGAGAGAGCAGCCTCCAAGAGTTGGCCCAGTGTTTGCCTAGAAGGGAAAGCGTGCGGGTTTATCACAATATCAGGAACTATGCCTCGGATCGTGAAAAGAAAACTCTCCAGTTCCTCTAGATAGCCTAAAACACCCTTCTGCCCATGCATACTAGAAAATTTATCTCCAAGGCATGCAAAACGAACCTACAAGATGTAAAAGCCAATCAATGGAGTTGGATTAACTCAAAGGGATACATTCTCTTAAAGACGGCTCAATTAAGTATGATATGGAACTAACCTGTCTCAGAGAAACTGCAGCAAAATTCTTCCCATCATCATTAGATGATATTACCACTTTTTGCACAATCCCTCTCTCGGTATGCTTGAGTTTTACACTGTGATTAGTCCCAGACTGTGTACATCTGCCAATGACAATATCGCCACTGTGCATATTAGCACCAATAAAAGGAGACCCATCATCATCAAGGCTGTCTACTCTACTTATTTTACTGTGAGTTTTCCTGAACTGAACAAGCTCATCCATCTTCTTTCGCTTCTCTGAGTCGTTGCTATCCGCCTCAGCTTTGAAGCTCTGAATCTGCTCAGAACAGAACATACCACGCTCCAATGAAGCCTTGTTCATCACAATGGAATCCTTCTGGTTGTACCCAAGATGAACATTCACAGCAACTATTGCGTTTTGGCCATTAAACAGCACTTCTTTCTGAAGACATTCTGATGCCAATGTCTTGAAAAGTGGCTTCTGGGGATAGAACAGCTGCTGGATCAGTATATCACAGCGGATGTTAGGGTTTGTTGATGAGAACCCAATGGCTTGTTGATAGTGCTTCTGGGACTGGTAGAGAACTCTCCTAGCCTGATCATGGTTGGCAAATGGGACAATTGCACAGCTCACACCCAACAGGAAAGACAGTCCAATTCGCAGTGGGTATAATTGGTAGGTTCCTTAAGAAGCTGCTTAATTCCCCATGATGTGGTACAGTCTTCTTCTTCCTCAATCCCGATTAGCTCGAGAATCCTTTGGTCAAGAAGATGCTCGAAGCTGTACTGTGAAGGTTTGTCTTGCTTCAGCTTGTGGAGATTTTCTACAACCAAGAGAGGTCGGAGTAGTCTACCAGCATCAGTGAAAATCCTCACCTCATTGTCATCTTTATCTTGCTTGATTTCAATCTGCAAAGCGTTTTGAGATATGTATTATGATGATATAACAACACAGACATTTGTGAAGCAGAAAAAAATCCAAGGTAACACAGGACACTTGTTGAAACAGAAGTTACCTGAAGAGGTAATTCAGTTTGACACCGGCTGCTTTTTACCTCCGCGACAAAGGACTCAGAGTCTGAACATAATCCAACCCAGTCTCCATTGAGAAGAACTTTATGTTTGCCAGATAGTGGTGTGCTTGTATCGTCCATTAGCTCCTCCATTCCACAATCAAATAGTTTTTCTACCACATGCTCTAAAATTTGAGTGCTGACCAGTCCAAGGAGAGACATGTTCTTCACAAGACCACAATTTTCACCATCCGCAGTTGACAGAAAGCATACTCTACCCCACTGAGAGGGAGGCCTGTGGCAAGATTACACACAATTCAGTCGTAGGTCAGTTAAAAAGCAACCAAAATGGATAATTTCATTGTCCACATCAGGAAAAATTCACCAGATAGAAAGACCCAAGGGAAAAAGAAACAAGAAAGACAATATCAGAATTTCTAAATAGTAGTATAATCTATACGAATTTAGTATAAATCTGGCTTACACAGATTTGACTCTGCAGAAAACAGTGGTTGCCATCATAAACGAAATAAAATAAGTTAATGTGAATATCTATCAAACAGACTGAAGATATGTAAAACTGAGTAAATGCAGACCATACAGCATAAGATTAGTGCATGGGATAAATTTATAACAAACCAGGGGAGGTGGAAATTTCACTTACGGATATCTTGCATCTCCAACCTTGCCGATACATAAGACTTGTTGTTGCGTTCTCCTCAGATCAATCAGAGTCTGCAATGGATTTGCATGACCCAGATTGGCTACAACACTGAAACCCTTTCCATCTTCCTGAAAGGATGAGACCATGCTCCAATGGAGAAGGCTCTACTAAGCCCATTTGTGATAATGGAAGCATCCAAATAATGCTCAATAGGCTTCAAATCGCCATCGCCTGTGAGATTTCTCTACATGGCCTTGGTCATGGTTTTTCTAGCATGTGTGAGGTGCACCCTTATCTCCCTCTCCAACAATCTCCAGCTAGCTCAATTCTCTTGTTCCTGAAGCTGTCTCTATTCTCACATTTTCTTTTCCCAACAAACGCACTCAAAAGGCACTTCACCATGTAGCCTAGGAATCGTGCTTTCTGTTTCAAACTTTTGAGGCCTAGAAACAAATATAGTCGTAGGCAGTCATCCACACTTTCGCTAGGTCGGAATTTTGCATTTTTTACCAGCTTGTCAACATATGCTAGAGCATTCCTCCCTTCGCGGCAAACTGCATCAGCCTCGCAGATAGAAGCATTGAGACTATTGTTAATGATTGCATCCTCACCATCAAAACCAATTAGATCAACTACCTCTTGGTCTGATGACACACCCAATGCAAAGAACAGTACCCAGACTGGGATCTCAGTCGACAAGAAGTACACGATCAGCACTTTCTCCCTTCTCTTATAATCTTCTGATTTCTGATTCTCTGCGAGACGCACGATGAATCTATTTCTTTTAGTCTCGGACCTGTAGGAGACTGTCCATGGTGAACTAGAAATCCACAATCTCTTTGTGCACATTTGTTCCTGAGCTATAAAAACCTGTAAAACACATTATATTCATGTTAGGAACTCGTAACAGCTTGACGATATTTTCCAGTATGTATTAGAAAAAAAAGACTAATTTTTTAATATCATTAGTTGAAACAGTTTAGGCAAACAAGTGTGCTGCATATATAGAAATTCAGGTGAAGAACGCCGCATAATCCCGCCACTAAGCTATACACTAAAAGAGTTCAAAATATAAATCCCATGACAGTGGATTTGCAAAAAGTTTCCAAACTAGTATAACTCACCTTCTCAGCCCCTTTTATAACAAAATATCCACCCTGGTCAAAGGCACACTCCCCCTTCTTATAGCTGTCCCCCGTCCTTTCCCTTCTCCCCTGTTTGGCAAAGTACAGATTTCACCATCACGGGTATCCTACCAATTGGAATGTCCTGCTTTTTGACATCTAATATCTTCTTCTCAACATATTCGTCTTGTCCCGTCTTGAATTTGTCACTTTTAACAACTTTTTTTGTGAACACCTAGTCAAGTTATAAAATGAAGAGCAGTTAGACAATAAACTTACCCGTAATAAGAGTAAGATACAAGGCCAGCAAAACATAAACTTCATTAGAAAGTTAAAGCAAACAGTGAGGGACATAGAGT